CTCCCTTAATCGGGAACGCCATTGCGCCCATTGTCGCACTCCCTTAATAGCCTCTGAGATCGAGGTTGCTGAAGATGGTTGCACCAAGAAGTTCAACATTGTGCTGCGCTCATTTGCTCCACCTGGTTGGTAAACCGTCAGCAATTTGTAAAATATCATCACTGACCCCAACATTCGAGTGGAAACGATCTCGGTCTTCAATCTCTCCGGAATCGCCTGTAGCAGCAAAGACACCGCTCTCTGCTCCAACAAAACATGCACAGTTTGAACCACTTTGAGCCCTTCCAGCTCAGCCTTGATGCCCAACCTTTCCAGTGGAGAAACACTCAACCATTTGGCATACGCTTGATATGCCTTTGAGTAGACGCATTGCCACCACACTCTTCCTGTATCTGTCAGCGAAGACAACATTGGTTCGATCATTGCGATCCAATCACCCAGTGCCGTCGGATTGCTTGGTGTGTAGTCTGCCAAAGTTGGAAGGCTCATCACATGCTTCCCGAGAGCCTCCGGACGTTCGGTTCCAGAACTATCACCAGTGATTGGCATACCGCGTGGCACCACTGCTCCAGGAGGTAAACTGACCCTTCCACCAGGCCCTTGAGGTAGTCCATGTCCTATACCGGGCGTAACAGCTGTGAGCGGAACCTTTTCTAATTCCAACTTCCCAGCGACCATTTTCCACCGATACGGAACATCATCCACCATTGTATATCCACCCGATTCTGCTGAGTTCTCTTGCGTCGCAGTTTCCCGAGCTGAAACAAAACCGGGCTGGTTCCCCGCAGGTGCGACAGAACCATCAACACCTGATGGCACGGAAATAATCGGAACATGTGTTAAACCAGGTGGTCCACTTGCATATCCACCACTTGCAGGACCTCCCGTGGGGTAATTCAATGGAGGCAATCTGGAGGGTTTCTTCCCTTCAGCTACATGCATCATTGGCACTTCTTTTTCATCCTCCACTTGAACATCCCCCTTCCTGGACCCAGGCAAGGATTGAAGATCACAACCCTTTGGCAGGTCGTAGCCCTCAATAGGCAGCCATGTCCCATCAGGCAACACAGTCCAAAAACCACCCATACCATCCGTGTAGAAAACTTGTCCTGGCAGGTACTGCTTCTCTGGAGTCATTCCTAGAGGATATGCCGTGTTTGCGTCCACCACTCCAGAGCTCCGTGCCCTTGAAGCTGACCCAGATGCAGCAGAGGTATAGCTTTTTTCCTCCACCCGATGCAACCTGTTCCCCAGCTCCTTTGTCTGCACAAGCAACTCTTTCAGCGCACGCTTCACCACCGCCATATCTTCAGTTTGCTCTTCACCACTAACATCAGGAATGAGTTCTTCGTCGGCTTGCACTCCACCAATAGTACCTCGTTCCATTTGTCCCATTAAGCCTGACGATGGTCTCTCAACAGGTGCAGGTTCCTGACCCAAAAGGTCTTGCAGCGAAGGCGGTCTCCTCGTACCTTCACCACTCCTATCCCCTCCGCTCGCGGGAAGACTTGCCGGCCTTGATTGCCTAAGTCTCATTTCTTCTTGAGCCCGCTCGCTCCAGAAGGATTTGCTGCTTGAACCGGAACCACTTCGTTTTCCACCTGAGGCGTTGGTTGTATCATTGCAACCTCCCTACCATCTGTCAGTGCTTGTACCATTTGTTGTCGATCTTCACCCCCATCACCACGATTTCCTTCGGCTTCATTGGCCGTTGGCGACAGTCCAGGCTCAGAGCGACGCCGCATCATGTCCATGGCGTTAAACAAACGAAAAATCTTTACCAATTCCGCAGGAAGCCTAACTTGGGCTCATAACCTACGGGGGGCAACCGAAGGAGGACAGGGAACAAGACAGTCAACCCCAACAGAAGCCCTTATTACCCCTGGAACAACCAACAACCGAACAGCAAGACCCCAAACCAAGGGCACACTTTTTACGAAACCTTTGACCGCTTTGGTCATGGCTTGAGCCAAAGATTACCGGGTTCATTGACCCTTCAACTTCCAATACCAACTCCTTTCTACAATACCAATTGCAGCTCCGCATAGGGTTTAGGGCTTAGGGTTTGGGGTTTGGGGTTTCGGGTTTAGGGTTTCGGGTGTAGGGTTTGCGTTTTAGGGAGGGCTTTTGGGGCTCTCAGGGGGTTTAGGGATTGGAGGGGTCTCGGGTTGTGATGCTGAGGGATTAAGCGGGGTTGCGGCTGTTTGTCTACGCTTCATCTGACCAAGGCTCTACATGTAAAGAGGCATGCGGAAAGAGAATGGAAAGATATCAAAGAACAATGAAATAATGCAAGGGGACTTCATTGACAAATCATTTAAGCAGTTGTGAAATACACACAGCATAGTATCCCCAACAGCAGAAAGCTTGCAGGAATGCTCAGCACCTACATGTTGAAGCATTGGCAGCTACTAGCTGAATGGACAACATGCGCGGTGGGAGCAGTGAAAGACGCATGACAAAAGGCCCCGTCTTGGGAACAAAAACTTGCAGTTATATGCCTATAGTTGCACAAACGGCAGAAATGTTGTCGCACAAACGGCAGAGATGTGACCTGAATCAGAACAAAGGTTCAGGCTTGTTCTCCAATACGGTACGGTGAAGCGGCTACGACAAGAGAGTGCCAAGTGCAAATAATTATGTGTGTGTGTGTGTGCGCGCGTGTGACAGGTGCCTGTGCTTGTGTTTGGTTGGGGATTTGTGGCTTGTTTATCGTTGGTCCCAGAGCTGCTGAAGGCGCACGCGTCCGTGCGTTCAAGGTGCACACGGCGCTTTGGCGCGTGCAGCACTAACATAGCGCACGGGCCAACGCTGTCGAGGCCTCAGGAAGCCTCGCTGGAAGGTCTTGGAGGCCCTTTCCGTCTTCTCACCCCGCATGTCCTTTTAGGGTCCAAGGTTTCCCCCTGCTTTTAGGGCTTAAAGCTTTCCGCCCGATATTTCCTTTGTCGGGCTTGGGGCTTGCCAGCAAACGTCTCCTGTTTGGAGTTGAGGTTTCTGCTTTCAAGGTTTAGGGTTGGGCTTGGCATTTGCTTTAGGGCGTATAGGGCTTCCCACCCAACATCTCCTTTTAGGGCTTCGGGTTCGCTAGCTGCTTTCAGGGATTAAGGCTTCTTCCCACCCAACCTCCTTTTAACGTCTAGGGCTTACGCCGGTGTTTACTGTAGCTTGTGGGGCTGAGGGTTCACACATGCATCCCGCACAGAAACCCTGTGTGCACCGTCGACACAAGCACCGCGAACCTGGTGCCCCCGCCCCGGACTGGAAACAGGCCCTGAACCTGCCCAACTTGGACCCACACCAGTATGACGCTTAGGAGGCAAACCTGCAACCCTGCAACAGTCCGTGTTGTTGGTACAACGTTCCAACCGCCCAGCCCGCCAAGATAGTGCCCAATAGCATGTAACACAGCTTCCTCACGAAGAACTCTCAATTTCCAAAGGCATTGTGACACCGGGCAGTGCATGGCAGTGTCATGCAGGTGTCCTAGTTTAAGTGTGTGTAGGTCCCAGTGTAGGTTGTCACGCCATGAACCCAGAACCGCAAACCCGATCTAAAACCCTGAAACCGCCTTAACCCGGCCTGCGACTCCTCCCGGCCCCCGTGCTGCTCTCACAGATCACCGCCACCTGGCCACAGGCATTCACAGACTCGCAGAAACGAGGGATTGGGGTTTGAAAGCTGGGAATTGGGATTTTAGAGTTTCGGGGTTGAGGACTTGCAGCTTTCAGGGTTAATGTTAGCACATGTCGCGCGTAAGAAGTGCTTGCAAGGATGCGTTCACCGAAGCCTAAAGCAGCGCGCATCCCCCCCATGTCTCCCCCGTATTACCGTACTTCGGACCCACCCTCAAGTACCCCCTCATACAGCGTCAAAATTGGGCCTTACTCGCTTCTGTTGAAGCAAACTGCCTCTTATGGCAGAGGGAGAGGGAGAGGGAGAGGGAGAGGGAGACGGCAGACGAAGCGGCGCTCTTTTCAACTCCACCAGCACCCAGACCTGTACAGTGCTGACGACACTCACTGAGCATTCCGAGCATCGCCTTGGCGCACACCATCCGGCACATGGGGGATTCCATGGGCTTGCAATTCAGCTGCAAGTGGCTCTGTTGTTGGCACTTTGAGACACGTGGGTTTGTGTGTTCGGTTCGTGTTCAGGTTGCGTGATCTGTCGGTAGCCGATAGAGAGTAGAGCCACTGGCAGCAAACAGAAGAAACTAAGAAGGATGCTGAACGATCCGCTGGTGGATGTTAGCTGGACACCCCTAAAGCCCATAGTAGTTCTTTCTGTCTTTAGCCTCGCCAGACCCTTCGCGGTCCATCCACCAACATCGCCCACTATATATGTTTCGACCTGCTTGGGAAGGTAGGAGCGAATGTGCAAAACACCGCGACGTCACGTTCGCGCGAGCTTGGGGGTTTCCTCCCCCCCCCCACTCTGCCGGGCATGCTTCCCATCTTGTACAGACCAGGGCTGAGACATGAATGAATCTTGCATACTGCGTCTGCTGCTCACTATGAGACTGGAACTGCTGCCCGAGTGCTGTGCGGGACTCAAAGGCATCGCATGGTTAAAAGTTGGGAGCGCCCAAATGCACAAACCTTTGCTGCTGCGCTGCCAGAACCCCTGTCGGCCTTACGGTGGCCCAAAAACCCAAGCAAAACCTCCGAAACCCTGATGCCCTAAACCCTAAACCCTAAACCCTAAACCCTAAACCCTAAACCCTAAACCCTAAAGTTCCCATAAAGCTGCGGGATGGTTAGTGGTGTGTTCGGCTGGGAGGGCGCCCTGGCCAAGTCCTCAATCCCTAAACCCTAAACCATAAACCCTAAACCCTAAACCCTAAACCCTAAACCCCTAAACCCCTAAACCCCTAAACCCCAAACCCCAAACCCTAAACCCTAAACCCTAAACCCCAAACCCCAAACCCTAAACCCTAAACCCTAACCAGCTTTGATCCAGGGCCTGGCGCCACATCAGCCTTCCTTCTGCTGGGACCTCCCTCACTGCAGGGTCACAGCCGCAGGCTGGCCCACCAGCTCTCCTCAAGCAAGAACCGGGCTTAGGGTTGAATCAGGGTTTAGGGTTCGGGGTTTAGGGGTTTAGGGATTAAGGTTTAGGGTTTAGGGTTTAGGGTTTAGGGTTTAGGGTTTAGGGTCTAGGGAACCACGAGCCTCTTAACCAAAACGGCGGAGGTGGTTGCCAGCATTGTTGTCTGCATGCGCGGTATTGCTCCTTTACCGTTTCTGTAGGCTGCTGCTGTTGCCTTCGCGGTATAGTGCCAGTTTTGTTGCCTGTGGGTCCTAGCCCCTATCCACTTTGCGATGGCTGCTTCTTTTGATCGCCGATACTGGTGCCTCTAGGGTTTAGGGGTTAGGGTTTAGGGTTTAGCTGGCTATGTTGCTCCTCCCCCCCAACATGAGTGCTAAGCCGGCAACGGCAACACTACTAGCAACAAGCACTCAACCACTAAAGCAAGGCAGAGGACCAGAAGAGGAAGGGACCATGGGACCGGGGTCAGCGTTTATAAGGGCCGCGCCAAGACCACAACAGCAAAAAATCATGCACACAGACACACACACAAACACACACACACACACACACACACACACACACACACACACACACACACACACACAAAAAGAAAAGAGAGACCGAATCTGAACCCCATAACCCCACTCCCAGCCCATCTGAGTTCTGCGGCCGTTCTCGCTGGTGCTGCTGGTGTGCGCCAACGGCCTGGGAGGTGGTAAAGGCCGAACCTCTCAAAAACTCTCAAAAGGATCCACAGGTTGAGATGTTCCCCCTGATACTGACAATCATTAATGGGGATGATAAGAAGGAGTACTATAATCCCTATTAAGGACTGTTAGTAACATCCCAAGGCGCAGGGTTTAAGATTGCACTTCATGGCTGAAGCTGTCGGTTCTTGGCTGGAAAAACCCTAGACCCTAAACCCTAAACCCTAAAACCTAAAACCTAAAGCCTAAACCCTAAACCCCAAGTTCCGCGTGTTCCCGCAAGCTCGAGCTTCGCTGGGCATCCGGCAGGTCCTCCTCTGGCACCTCGAACTCGAACCTGGATCCCAAGGGGTCTGCCCTTGGTTATAGGGTTTAGGGTTTAGGGTTTAGTGTTTGGGGTTTAGGGTTTAGGGTTTGGGGTTTGGGGTTTGGGGTTTGGGGTTTGGGGTTTGGGGTTTGGGTTTAGGGTTTAGGGTTTAGGGTTTAGGGTTTAGGGTTTAGGGTTTAGGGTTTAGGGTTTAGGGTTTAGGGTTTAGGGTTTAGGGTTTAGGGTTTAGGGTTTAGGGTTTAGGGTTTAGGGTTTAGGGCCTGGGGTTTAGGATTTAGGGTCAAGCGTTGGACTCGTTGGGGCAAAGTCCCCTGAAACAACTAAACCCGACTCCTCTGCACCCCCTTCAGCCGACCCAATCCCCCCTCCTAAACCCTAAACCCTAAATCCCCTACCTACGGTGCTTGAAGTGTGGGTCCTGGGGTTCAGGGATGCTCCAAATTCTAACCCCTAAAGCCCCTGCAGCTCGCCAGGCCACTCGAAGGCCTCGGCCACTCGCCTAGATCGCGGAAGGGGCTCGCTTGGCTCTAATTTCGAATTTAGGGTTTAGGGTTTATATAGGGTTAAGGGCTTAGGTTTAGGGTTAAGGGTTTAGGGTTAAGGGCTTAGGGTTTAGGGTTAAGGGTTGCAGCTTTGAAACCTGAAAACTCGACGCTGCTGTTACACCCTCTGGCGGAGCCGCCACAGCCCTGGTTCCTTGCAGCAACATCAAACGCCAACAGGCAGAGACTGCACTTGGGCTTTGCCCAAACTGCAATAATTCTTCTAGGAGCCTGAATAATTAGAATAGGGTTTTGGGGTGGTTATTGTGGTATAGTCATACAGGGACCATAAGGGAATGATATTCGTAATTGACAGACCGCCGTGGCTTCGAAGCAGTTCTTGCCCAGAACTTCATGAGTGTTTGATACTGACCCTGTACTGACCCACGACCCTAAACTTGCAAGCCCGTAGCCCTAAGGGGTCCAGGGTTCGCCGTCGAGTTGAACATCCATAGGCAGCAGAACATGAAAACGCTCTCCTAAAATTTACGCCCGAAGCCCGAAGCCCGAAGCCCTAAACCCTGAACCCCCACCTCCCAAAGGCGGATGCCACCAGCGTCGGGAGCTCTTCCTCCAATGTGGCACCTGGGGAAGAGAGCTCCGGGCGAAGGGACTTGGGGCCGTTAGGTTTAGGGTTTAGGGTTTAGGGTTTAGGGTTTAGGGTTTAGGGTTTAGGGTTTAGGGTTTAGGGTTTAGGGTTTAGGGTTTAGGGTTTAGGGTTTAGGGTTTAGGGTTTAGGGTTTAGGGTTTAGGGTTTAGGGTTTAGGGTGTAATTAGGGTTTAGGGTTTAGGGTTTAGGGTTTAAGGTTTAGGGTGTGGGGTTTAGGGGAACATCCCAAGCTTCAGGGTTGAAGTGATCAGCATTTGATCGTCTCGGAAGGGCAACTTGCGGAACTTGGGCTCTGGTGGGTGTTGAGGGCTTCAGGTTTATATCCGAAACTGCCCAAGCCCTACTCAAAGCCCCAAAGCCCTGACAAGCCCTGAAAAGTCTGAAAAGTAAATCCCTAAACCCCTAAACCCCAAACCCCTGAACCCCAAAACCCCTAAACCCCGAAACCCCTGAACCCGTAAACCCCTACACCCCTAAACCCCTAAACCCCTAAACCCCTGAACCCCTAAACCCCTAAACCCCTGAACCCCTAAACCCCCAAACCCCTGAACCCCTAAAGCCCTAAACCCTAAACCCCTACACCCCTAAACCCCTAAACCCTAAACCCCCAAACCCAAAAACCCTAAACCCTAAAAACCCTAAACCCCTAAACCCTGAGGGCTTAGAATTCTTTCGCAGGCTCCAAACCCTAAACCCTAAACCCTAAACCCTAAACCCTAAACCCTAAACCCTAAACCCTAAACCCTAAACCCTAAACCCTAAACCCTAAACCCCAGCGTCGATCTGCCACGGCGCGGATGGGGGCCACAAGGTGCCCAGGCAGTTGGGCAAGCTGCTCCTCAGCGCCGCAAAGGGGTTTAGGGTCTAGGGAGGCTTAGGGTTTAGGGTTTAGGGTTTAGGGTTTAGGGTTTAGGGCTTAGGGCTTAGGGTTTAGGGTTTAGGGTTTAGGTTTAGGGCTTAGGGTGTGAGCCAAGTTGTGGGTCGGTTGACAGGTTTCAGGTTTCGGGTCCAGACCTTTCAAGAAAAACATGTCGCACAGATTTCACAGGGGCCGTGTAGGGGGGCGAAGGGGAATGTGTGAGGCTTACCGTAGCATTCTACAATCCGAGTGTTGGGGGCTCCTTGGGAAACCCGCAAGCAACAGCCCACCAGCTGCACAACCCGTAGCCCTAAACCCTAAACCCTAAACCCTAAACCCTAAACCCTAAACCCTAAAACCGGTGACGATTCGGCCAGGAGTCAATGACGAAGCTACCGTACCTTCCCGTCGCCACATTGACGAGGGACGTTTCCCCTCGGCCTTGCCGCAGCGCCTTGCAGGGGTACATGCTTAACCCTACGCCTGCGGATGTTCCTCCTTCTAGGTTTAAAGGCCTGGATAGGGAGTGGAACAAAGGGGGCGCTATAGTCACCGCAAACCTTAAAAGTAGAGGCCTCGGGATGGAGGGTCGAGGGCTTTGGGTCTAGGCACGCTTAATGCTCAAAACAATCTTTCGGCATTCTTTCGTGCAGGGCCGGGAGCGCAAGACCTCATGAAGCACCCATTCACACCCAAATGAATCTTAAAGCAGGCAAGAGCAAGGTGAGAGGGAGCTTCCAATGGCCCAAAGCTCCCAAAATCTCAACCCCAAGTCGTTTTGGAGTGTGGCACGTGCTGGAGGCGTTGATTCGTTTGAGTAAGCTAGCTTCGGTTTTGAAGATGCTGAGCCTGTCTTTCTTAGTCCATCCGACGTGGTTCTCTGAAATGCCAAATGCCGAAACTCATGCCCACACACGCCTGCACTAAATCAAACTGGCCCCGCTCATCCGAGTACGTCAGGGCGCGCCTTGCAGTTGGCGCCGGGGTTTCAATGATTCTGAGAATTTTTCAGGGGTTAAAATTAGAGGGATTCGGGGTTCCAGGTGGGTGCGGTGGCTGTTGGCCTTCTGTGTGGCTTCTGAGCCCTCATCAAGTCTGAGCCCGAGCCCCAAAAAGTAGGACTTCCAAAATCTGACTAACCAATAAGGACCTGATAGGTTTCGGACCCAGGGCATTTATAGGGCTGGGGTGGGAGATCTTAAAGATAGAGTTTGGGGGCTTGGCGTTTGGTTTAGCAATCAATGATATCAAGGGTGCAAAGCTGAGCTGCGGGGTTTCAAGCCAACTTCTCCAACGTCCCTACTTTCAACTTCCAACGCAGCTATCTCCTCTAGCGATGCTGTCTTGTCCCCCTCCTGCCATTCCTCACATCCCCCCCAGCCGAGGGCCAAAAACAAAGTGCTGCTCTGTTTGCTACAGTGTCTCAGAAGTGTCTGACTTTTGTTCTTGCCACCCCTTCCTCACACCCTCCCTCGCCGAAGCCGAACAGCGTCGTCCGTGATCAGAAGCTAACGGAGCTTGAGCGCAAAGCTTTCGGAGATAAACCGGCTGCACTCTGTTTGAGAGCGCTTGCTGACGCTCCTGCGCAACCCCCTTAATCATCCTCCTCACCCTCGTCCTCAAAAAGCTTCCTTCCAGACCATACCTCGCCTTTCTACTTTCTACATTTCTGACCACATGACAGCAACTTGTGGATGGGGTTGTGCAAGATTAGGCTCTCATTTTGGGGTCGGTAGGGACGGCCCATGCCAAAAGGTACATGTACATAGGAGACGTGGGGTTCCAGGGCCTAAGATGTCGGTTCGAAGGTCTTTTGGGCCCTGAACCTAAACCCCGGAACTCACTAGACTTGCCCTCCCGGGCTGGTGACAATGAGCCGCATTCAATGCCCGAAATACCAAACTGGGTTTAGTGTTTAGGGTTTAGGGTTTCGGGTTCAGGGTTTAGGATTTTAGGGTTTCGAATTCACAAAAGGGCCCGAGGGGCTGCACTACGTGGCTGGCTGTCCGGTGGTTCGCCAGCTGCGAGACCTGCTCAGCTGAGGGCTTGCTTTTGGAGAGTTTCGGTTTGGGGCCTAGACCTTCGGCTCCTAGATCCTAAGCTTTGGGGCAGGGATGGGGACGAGCGCACTGTTTTGCCAGGCTTTGGAGACACCCCAAAGTTTGCCTCAGCCTGCCCTCGAACGCACTCTTCCCCTCCATCCCCAAAACCCTAATTCAGACTTCTGGGGGATTTCGGGATAAGGGTTAAGGCTTTGAAAGTTAGGATCTGCCATGGAGGATTCAGAGGGCCAGAAATCCATCATATTCGACTTGGTTGGGAACATGGTCCTTGCTCAAATCGGCGATGGAAAGAACAATGCTGTATTTCTGCCGAGTGATGGATCAACAAATTGCGAGCCATTAGTCGGAGCCGCCATCGGATCCGGACCACGAGATGGCGGTCCAATTGTTGCCTGGATGTTTTGGAGCGCCAAAAAATCTGTTTCGCAGGAGGTTCGAGCGGAATTCACCAAGCTGTCGATGAAGACTGACCAGGTTTTGACCTTAATACGTTCATGGAACCATTATCTTCAAGGTTGCGAAAGAGTTTCGGATGTTGGCAGATCACGCACCTCGACGTCGACATTTTCTCGCTGCTTGATTCCTCTGAACCCGCTGTCATCTCCTAAAACCTAAACCCTAAACCCTAAACCCTAAGCCCTAAACCCTGAACCCTGAACCCTGAACCCTGAACCCTGAACCCTGAACCCTGAACCCTGAACCCTGAACCCTGAACCCTGAACCCTAAAGCTGCTGGGGGCTGCTGAGAGAGTCTTAGAGAGTCTCACAGGACTTCGGGATGGTTGAACACTTGTACTACTAAATCCCGAAGCAAACCCGAAAACCAAAGGTTTTCGGGTTTTCTGGGTCAGGCTTTACCTGGGACTCTAATTACCTACAGCTTAATGGTAACTACCCTTACTTAGTAGGTATAACCCCGCAAAACTGTATCCTAGGGCTTCTAGGGGCGCCGGGCCTGGGGGAGAAGGGCGCGGAGTATGCCCCCACGAGCTGCGGGCGCGTGCTCGTAGAGGTGCTGGACAACGAAGTTGCCGTACTGGTGCTTGCCTGGGTACTATAGGGGCCTGAATAATTAGAACAGGTTTTGGGGGGTATAATAAGGGAATACTATGAGTAATCTTTCCGACTCCTGTAGTATCCACAGAAAGCTTCGCCACCCACAAGCTGTACCATCTCGATGCCGTCAACCACGAAAACTGCCCTAAACCACTAAAAACCCACACATCCCCAATACAAGGTAATCTGGCATGAAGCCATTGCCCGACTCCAATCCAACAGCTAGCGACAGGAAGCAGCTGCAGATAGCAACAACTTGGGGAAAAGTGGCAAATCTCATTTCAGATGCCCTTAACCCTAAACCCCAGAGCCAACACCTATTTAACAAATTCTGCTGTTGTTGAAAGATAAAAAAAGGTGAACATCTAGCTTCATGCTAGAATTTATACGGCGAGACTGGCCCTGAACTCTGCAACCATGTACCCCAAGCAACCCCCACGAGTCGCTGAACCCTAGACCCCGTACCCTGAGCCCCAAAAAACTGTAACCCTGGAACCTCAAGGTTTAGGGTTTAGGGTTAGGGTTTAGGGTTTAGGGTTTAGGGTTTAGGGTTTAGGGTTTAGGGTTTAGGGTTTAGGGTTTAGGGTTTAGGGTTTAGGGTTTAGGGTTTAGGGTTTAGGGTTTAGGGTCCAGGGAGTCACAAACCCTAGAACACACACTGCCCTTGAGCACACTTCTCTGCGGCTGTGGCTCTCAAAGCTTCGGCCTGTACCCAAGGGGGGTGTAGTTTCCCTAACCCGAAGCCCGAATACCAAAAATGAATATGCCCTGTTCTCTACTGGTATGTAGCTCTAAAGCTGGGTGAACCCCATCCCTCATTTTCATCCGCCCGCGAAATATGAGTATCTGTGGCTTTCGAAGCAACCGCAAGGTTCATGTTCTGAATCTGCTAACTTGGCTTCTACTAAATAGCTGAAACATGGTTCTTAGACCAGCTCATGTTTTGCGGTGGTGGGTTTCAGCTTCGTGACAGCATCCCAGGGATGGCGGCACATCGGGGGGGGGGGGGTTAGGGTTTAGGGTTGAGGGTTCAGCGGACTGGAAGTCTGTTCTTGGACTCGGGTCTTGGGCAATGGGGTGTCAGGTTTCTGCTGCCTGTGGGTTTGGCGCACGGGTCGAGAGCTGTGGAGTTTAGGCACAGTCCAGGCGTGTAGTTATCGTGGAGGCTTTGAAGTTTCGGAGGAACTTCTTGGACATCACCCAGAACAGACGCAGATGCAGCAAAAAAGTTGACGAAGGATTTCAGTCTTGTGTGCAGACGGACCGCTGCGCATATGCTTACTTCGGTAAGCGTGCTGCTGGTCCTGTCCGACCTTGACATACCCACGGAATACGAACGCCCGCGATTGGTTAGCGGTCTGGCTTACAGGACGTGAATTGACTCGCAGGTGGACACTTTTATTGGGCCTTAAGCTAGCTTGCGTAGGTTAGAGGCCTCGTAAGCTCGCAAGGCCTAAGAGGGTTTCAAGGTCTGGCGTGAAAGGTTTAGGGAAACAGGGTGCGACCTCCATACCTGCGGAGTGTATGAAACCCTAAACCTAAATCCTAAATCCTAAACCCTAAACCCTAACCCTAAACCCCATCAAGCCCCGATCCTCCTGAAGCCCAACAAACGCACAGCTCCAAGTCCCAATAGGCCCTGAAACCCACGGCAGAGCTGTCCAAAAACGAGACCATCAATCTTGGCCATAAGATGCTGTGCTTGATCTAATTCTTATACTTACTCAACACATGTACCTACATACAGGCGGGACCTGCATACATGCATGCATGCACACTTACAAGGCATACTGTACACACGCACACACATGCACACATGCACACATGCACACATGCACACATGCACACATGCACACATGCACACATGCACACATGCACACATGCACACACGCATCTACGAGCATACATGGAAGCATGCAGGTATGCAACATATTTCATGGCAGATGATTTTTCGTTCCATACAGACGTACCACCCGTGTGCGTTTGTGCACGTATTTGGATACATAACATGATGTTGCGTTACCTTGAATTGCAAATCCTTCTTGACATTGAATGCATACGTTCTGCACGCATTCAAGAGACCTTTGCGAAAATGAGGATCGAAGGCAAACACTCAGATTGTGCCTACGGAACCCTCACGCCCTTTAGCCGTCCTTGGGCACAATCGCTGCGATCAGCAATCGTTGATCTGCCTCCGCAACAGATGGCAGGGGGAACTTTCACTTGTTGAACTTCAGTTTGTGGGGAATTTGGAAGGTTTCCGGGTTTAGGGTTTAAGGTTTAGGGTTTAGGGTTTGGAGTTTAGGGTTTAATTCGTGCGCGAAGTCTCACTCTTTCAAGATGGCGTTTCCAAAGAAGGTGGCTACAAGGGCAAAGCCAGCATGAGCTGTCCAGTTTGGCATCACACTAAGACACAAGCACTGCCCTGTCCCACCTAAAGTTCCTAGAAGCATAGATCGATGCATAGCACTCAAAACCCTCGACTGAGAACCCACCCCCCCCCCCCACCCTCCCAAAAAAAGAACACAAACAACAAACAAAACAAACTCAAGCGTCAGAGGGTCTTGGGTTGGGGCCTCAAAGCCAGAACGTCATCTTGCATCCCACAGCGGAAGCTTTCGTTCGGCTCACCACTCCGGAACTCCACGCAAGGCAACAAGATAATATAGGGGTCGGAATAGTTGCTAATCGTATTCCCTGATGGTCCCACTATGATCGTACTAGAATAACCCCCAAAAAACTAATTATTAAGGCACCTGTATTGAATGGCCAACTATTTCGTTACAAACGAAACTTCGTTCATGAGAATCTTAAGGAAACACCAAGTCCTCAGTGATGTGCTCGATGAGCCGCTCCATCAGGCGGCCTGCTTGGCGCGAGTAGGATTGAGGATTTCCGGGCTTCAAGCTGCTCGGGCTCTGAAGGATCTAAACCCTCAACCCTCAACCCTAAACCCTGAAACCTAAACCCTAAACCCTAAACCCTCAACCCTAAACCCTAAACCCTGAACCCTGAACCCAAACTATTCGAACAACCCCAAGACCCTCAACCCCCTGGTTGAACTCTCACAAGGCTGGGGTCTGCGAGGTGCCCTGAACCCTAAACCCTAAACCCTAAACCCTGAACCCTGAACCCTGAACCCAAACTATTCGAACAACCCCAAGACCCTCAACCCCCTGGTTGAACTCTCACAAGGCTGGGGTCTGCGAGGTGCCCTGAACTCTAAACCCTAAACCCTAAACCCTTGTTAGCTTCAGGGAGTTGGCGGTTCCGGCGCTTGCGGTGTTTTTTCAGCCTTGGGGCGGTCGTGGGCTTGGGGTTGGGCGGGGGGTTCACTGGAAGGATGGCTGGTTTAAGCTCTATATAGTCGGAGCTCTATGAACCAGGGGGGGTTGGGGGGGTTTAGGGGGTTTAGGGTTTAGGCTTCAGGGTTTAGAGTCTCGCAGCTCCATGACTCAGGGGGATTTCGGGGGGTTTGACTCAGCTGGCTCCTCTTCCAGGTTTTCTTTCGTGTTAGGTGCGGCTTGACTTGGCTCGGCTTGGCTCGGGGCTTGGGCTTGGTCGGGTTCGGCCCCAAAAGGTGTAGTCCAATTGATTTCCCAAGTCACACAGCAAGCCCCCAAATTTGCAAGCACAAAGGTCTTATCACAAGGGAACAGATTCAGATATGTGTGTTGAAGCATTCCCCTTGACGGCATGATGTTCTTTATCGCAAGCTTGCATGGGTGGAAAAGCCAGGGGGGTGGTGGACGGGGGGGGGGGGGGGGGCTTGTGGGACCAAATTCAGATGGGCTTGTGGCAATTCCTCTTTTTCGGCATCACGGTCTTCAAAGCAGACTTGCACTGTTTGAAGAAGTGGCCGAAAGCCAGGCGAAAGCTAAGCCAAGCAAAAGCTAGGCCAAGCCCAAACTATAGTGTGCTTACGGGAGGGAGGTTCATGGGGGGTGGGTACCTGGGGAACCTTCGGAAAGCTTAGGGAGCCTTTGGGAGTAGTAGGGAGTATTCGGGAGCCTTGGGTTACATACCCCCCTTGAACCCCCCTCCCTTAAGAACCCTTTAAAAAAAATCCGCACCCAGCCAAGGCAAACTCCGAGCCTAGCCGCACCTAAGAAAGAAAAAAACGGGCCGAAAAATGGGGCGTAGGGTTTGAGGGTTGTTTGGTTTAATCAGGTGGCGTTTGCACGCTACCAGCGCCTTTTCTGACTCCCCAATGCCTCTATGTCTATAACCCCCCTGAACCCTAAACCCTAAACCCTAATCCCTAAACCCTTATCCCTAAACCCTAAACCCTAAACCCTAAACCCTAAACTCTAAACCCTAAACCCTAAACCCTAAACCCTAAACCCTAAACCCCACAAATCTCCGAAACCCTGCAAACCCCCAAACCGACATCCTCCACCCGCCGGGCGCCCCGGCAGCCGAACTTGTGCTTCGACACCTCCTCGAAACCTCGCTCCTGGGGCTTAAAGGAAAAGAGTTTAGGGTTTAGGGTTTAGGGTTTAGGGTTTAGGGTTTAGGGTTTAGGGTTTAGGGTTTAGGGTTTAGGGTTTAGGGTTTAGGGTTTAGGGTTAGGGTTGTTAAGGATTTGGGGTCCTTATAAGGGAATCCTACTCTTTGGGGGTCTATTTTCGTAAACCCCCCATCAAGGGCGGGGGACCTTTTCCGAAAGTTCAGGCTTTTCCCAAGGTTCAGAGCCTTAAAACCCGAGGTTAGGGAGTTTTGGCCTCAGGCCTTTGGGTCCAGGCTGCGGGCGTTCCACGTTCGAATGTCAGCTCTGAAGGATTGAAAAAACCGTGGGGGGTATCGATGTGCAGGTTGAGAGTCTTCAAAGGCTTTTCTCAGCATGTTATGGGAGTTTCGAGGATCCTTCACCCCCCGACAGTCTTCGCCCAACAGTCTTCGGCCACAAGCTTCAAGCTGTCTTTCGTGCGCCTCTGCCTACGGCTTCTGAGATTCCAAGTGCAGGTTTGGGGCTTCCTGCGTGCTTTGGGGGGGTTCAAGGGTATGTGGGCATGCTCAATAGGGTGACAGCCAGGGCCTTCCGACCTCAAAGCCCCACCCATCCATCCTGTCCTTAGCCCGTGGGGATCGCGCCAGAAAAACGCACAAAAGGGCACTGTCTCCCCAAAAAAACCCTAAACTTCCGATAAGCCCTGAACATATAAGCCCTGATAGACCCCGAGTCCTACCCTGAACGCTAAGCCTAAACCCCCTAAGCCCTAAACCCTAAACCCTAAACCCGAAACGCTAAACCCTAAAACCGAAACCCTAAACCGTAAACCCTAAACCCTAAACTCAAAACCCTCCCTTTTGCGCCTGGAGCTTCTCCACAATCCCCGACAGCCGCTTGGAAGGTAACACTTCCACGGCCTGCGGCAAACAGGGTTTAGGGTTTAGGGTTTAGGGTTTAGGGTTTAGGGTTTAGGGTTTAGGGTTTAGGGTTTAGGGTTTAGGGTTTAGGGTTTAGGGTTTAGGGTTTAGGGTTTAGGCTTTGGCTTTCGGGTTAAGGGTCCTCAGGACAGATCCGGAAGCCTAAGCTTGAAACCTCGCCCCAAACCCCCACCAAGCCTCAAATGTGCGTTCTTCCTGAAGTCTCGAAGGCTAAAGGTTGGGATGTTTCCCCTTATACTAGCAGTCCTTAATAGGGATTACGCCACCCCCTCTTATCATCCCTATTAAGGACTATTGGTATAATTAAGGGGGAACATCCCACCTCAAAGGACATCTCTTCAGATTGGGCCCCGTGTCAATTGGGACCCTAAACCATCAAGGCACCAGGCGCGGCCTTGGAAAGGGAGTAGTTCCCATGCGGTGACTCGTAGAGCCTCCGCCAGGCTCGACATCGATAACTTCAGAATTTTTTCGGATTTCAGAGTTTATAATATCGACTTTTAGAGACTTTCGGGCTTTCAAGTTGGCGTCTTAGGCTTTCTTTTTGGAAGATCCGTACTTTGCAGGTGTGTGAGGCCCGGTGCTTGGACATTTGTCTTCAATCCGAGTTTCTAAGCCCCTTTTTCCGGTCAAGAGTCCCTACTCCCGGCCTAGAGTAGGAGATACCCCGAACCCCCCGTGGCCGTATAGGTCCTCTTTCCCTCTGCTTAAAGATGCCCAGCAGCTCCACCGCTCTCTCTGTCAGCTGCAGGAGTAGCCGGCCTGGGCGGGATTCACGCACAGGGGCTCGGGTTACGGTTTAGGGT